CAGACACCCCATCGTCCCGGGAACCGACGCCCACCTTCCACTCCCGCTCCCCCTGTGGACTCGGCGTCGGCGGAGCCGGCGCAGCGCCTGCCTGCGGTCTCACTCGGCCCCGAGCTCCTGCGTCCGCCTGTCCCTCCACACTGTGCCGGAGATCTTTCTTTCTTTTTAAATGCATTTTATTGAAATATAATTTACCTTCAGTGACATACACAAAACTAAAGGGACGGGGGTCAGTGCATTTTTGCCGGGGATCTTTTTAAAGTGGATGCGAATAGGACCTAAAATCCTCCCAGCCCCTCCTGACTCCCTCCCCTTCTGCGGGTAAAAATCCACATTTCTTTATATGGTCTCGAAGGCCCTTGGCTTGGCCCCTGCCCACCTCTCTGGCCGCACCTCCTTCACCCCCAACCTCAGCCCCAAAGCACAGCCATGGACCTCAGGCCGCATTCAGCTCAGACAGGAGCAGAAGCCGGGCACACCCATACTCAAAGCTTCTACATTTTACGGATTCTGTTCCCTTCCCCTAAAATGCCCTTCCCCCAAGCCGGTTCCCAGTGGCCTTTAAGACTCAGATCAAGTGTCAGCTCTTCTGGGAAGCCTTCCCTGGCCACCACTCCCCCCACCCCACCCCTTCACCACGTAGGTGCGCGTTCCTGTAGCAGCCGCGTGCGCGTTCCTGTTGCAACCGCTTGTTACTCTCACCATCACAGTCTGTTATAACTGTTCCTGTCTCCTGCAAACCAAAACTAAACTCACTGCCATCAATCCTGACTCACAGTAACCCCCATTGGCAGACTGCCTCCTCTTTCGTCTGCAGAGCAGCTGGCTGGTTTGAACCATCGACCTTCTGTTTAGCAGCCGAATGCCTTAACCACTTCACCACCAGAGTGCCTGGGCTGTCTCCTCCACTGGTGTGTACATCCTGGAGAGCAGGGCCCTTCGTTTTCAACTCTGAATCCCCGAGGCCTCACAGGTCCAGGCACAGAGCTGGGCGTGGTCAATGTTCGCCAGATGAATGGGGACTCTTAGCACCGGCTCTGGGCATGTTCTGCAGGCAAACAAGACACTGTGCGTCTGCCGCAGCTCAGGGCCTAGTGCAGGGGGTCTCACACCTTTTGAACTTAGATCCTCTTTATACTCTTAAAAACTGTTGAAGACCCCAAAGAGCGTTTGTTGACGTGGGTTGTACCTATCGATATCTACTCCATGAAAAATGAAAACAGAAAAATTTTAAATATTCAATCATTAAAATAATAATTAAAAAAACCCTACTACACATCAACATAAGTAGTTTTATGAAATGAATGATCACTTTTCCAAATAACCACTGTGAGGAATGGCAATTATTTTCCACTTTAGCCCTTTAACGTGTGGCTTCATATGGGACACCTGGCTTCACAAAAGCTGCTTCATTCAACCTGTTGCGATAAATTGGTTTGGTTTGAGTATATGAAGAAAATCTGGTCTCAGAGAAATATGTAGTTGGAAAAGAAAGGAGTATTGGTATAGACTTTTCAGATAACTGGATCTTCTTTGATATTACACCAAAACTTGACAAGTGGTCATGTCTTAAGGACAGTGGCAGGATGGAATCTGAAACCATCTCAGTGACTTTTCATGGTGTGTAAGGTGTAGTAAATTACTTAGTGTGGTTTTTCTACCCATAAGTCTTTGTAAATTCTGAGGTGGAATTTGCCATGAGCAACTGAGGAGCTCCTGATTGCTAAAGTTGTCCACCTGGGGTGTTTCTGTTGGGAGTAGCACAAAGCAATGTTCTGGGAGGTTCTGTCTCTCTCTCAGGTGCTTAGAATTCTGATGTTATGATTGGTTGGTTTGGCCACTCTGCTGGGCTCAAAAGGAGGCCTCCTAGAGGCAGAACTCTCTCTGACTGCTGACTGAGGAAGGATGTGCTCCTGAGAGATACGTGCTGCTGGGAGAGAGACTGTGAGAGACCATTGGCTGAGAGATGGTGGGCTGGGAGAGAGACTGAGTGTTTTTCCTGAACTTGAATTGTAGCCTGGTGCTTCCCTAAATAACCCCCTAATTTGTGAGTTCTGTGTGGCCACTGAAGCGAATTATCGAACCCAGGAGGGTGGTGATGGGTGCTTTGGGAGGAACGGTTGGTGAAAGGGCTGGAGGGAGGCAGCATGTCTGGTGTTGTGGTTACCTAGTGCCGCTCTGACAAGAAATATACCACAAATGGGATACCTTAACAAACAGAAGTTTATTCTTACAATTTGGAGGCTTTAAGTCCAAGTTCAAAGTGCCAGGCTGTATGGGTTGGGTGAAAGCCCCTCAACCTTGGGGTCCAGCTCTGCCTCCTGCTCCCGGCCCACTGGAGCTAGAGGCGTTTCTTCACTCAGACAGCTGCTGGCTGCTGAGGCTGAGAAGCCCCAAGTTTGACAAGTAAAAAGGCACAGTCCTGATGTTACCAAACCACACGGCAGGCCACTAACTAAGTCCACTGTGAGTCCCAAGGTCCGCAGAGCATAGCAGGCTGCTGAGCAACGACACGGCTATATGCAGGGTCCAAGGGTGCCATAGGCTAGAGACCATTACCAAGGCTTCTCCTAAAATACAGGAAGCAGACCACATCCCAAAGGCAGCTACTCAGCTGCTTGTGGTAGATCCCCCCATGGAGTTGATTGCCAGTCTCATCATGGGGAATAACTACCACCAGCTGCCCAGCCACTCAACCAGGCCCAGCCAGGTTGACACACAAACATAACTACCACTTCTGGCCTTGCAGGAATAGGCCTTGGGCTATTGATGGTGATTCTGTCTTCCTCTTGTGGGGTTAGAGGAGGTCAGAAGATATGGCCTCCTTGCCCTTTTAGCAGTAGGTTACATTAAAATCCATCAATCTGTCTTGCATTTTGATTAGATTTGTTTTACATATGCAGAATTTTGTAATGCTGTGCGCTACTCATTTGGGAAATTAGTTTGTTATAGATTTCAAAAATCACTTTCATTAATATCACTATCAGTTTTAGCAGAAAAGCCTTGGGAAGTTGTCAGTCTCTTGGTGGCAGATAAAAGTTTTCCAAGATTCAAATATCTTGGAACATTTTTCAAGAGAAAAGTTTGAGGAAGAAGCTGTCAAGCTTTTGGTGGCAGAGACAAGTGATTAAGATTCTAATTTTCCTTGAAAGGTTGAATCGGCCACCAATGCTGTGTTGTTTTTTTCCTGAAGTGACAGATTCATGTCGTTTCTTCCTGAAGAACCCAAACTAACCATAGTTTGAATCATCAGTTTGTCT